ATATGCAGTTAACAGTTGCTTGCAAATATGAAGACAAAATACTTTTTTTCCCAGGTAAACATAAGTGAGAGAGTTCGTCCCATCCAGACCCGAACAACAGCTGTTAAATGAAAACCATCAGGCGGAAGTTACCGGAGGAAAAGATGGGCCTACACAAAGGAATCAGTTTCAGAAGTCTTGTTGGTGACCATGAAATACTTTTCTTTCTCAGTTTTCAGTTTTCTAAAAAATGTAATGATCATTGAAAACAAATATAACAATGTGTTTGGGAGCTTTATATAATATATAGATTATAGAAGTAAAATATGTGATCAAAAACATCCGGGAGGAAATAGAGGTACAGGTTCTTATGTCATATGTTAAATATAGTTTTATGGTAAACTAAAATATATTGGAGACACCATAGAAAAAAAACAACAAAATTGTAGATAATAAGCCAATAATGGAGATAAAATGGAATAAAAATAAATAATCCCCCCAAAAAAGACAGAAAAAAACCTCCAGATGTAGCAAATAGGAGACAAATGACAAGAGGGTAAATTTAATTCAAATATGTTAATAGTTACAGTAAATTAAATTCTAATTAAAAGAGATTGTCAGTATAGATATTCTGTCTAGACAACATCCATTTTAAATATAAAGAAAGCAGATTTAAAGTTAATGGAATAAGCTGTATCATGACAAACTTCTAAGAAATCTGGAGAATCTGTAATATATCAGATAAAATGTACTTCACAACAAAGAATGTTACTAGAGATAAAAGGATGTTTCATAGTGAGAAAGCAGTTAACCCATATCCAAAAAACATCATAACCTTAAAGGTATATTTATCTAAACATACAGCTTCAAAATACCTGAAGCAAAAACTGACACTTGTTAAAAAGACATAGTTGAGTCTACAAAGATAGTTGATATTTTTACCCATCTCTCTCAGCAACTGATAGAACAGATAGACTATCAGTAAGGATGTAGAACACTTGAACAACACTGTGAAAGAACTTGACCTAGTTGCTATTTATAGAACATTCTCAGCAATAACAGAGAATGTCAGAATACAATTTCCACAGATAGACCATAGTCTGGGCCATGAAAGTAATCTAAATAAATTTTGAAATGTTAGAAAATAAAGGTAAGTTCTGTGACTACACCATGGAATTAAATTGTTAATTAATAACATATATGTGCAAAACCCCTATTTTCAAATTGAACAACAGTGTTCTAAATAACCCATGGGTCAAAGAAGAAATTAGAGGAAAGTTCCGATAATATTTTGACTAAGTAAAAATTAAACCACAAAGTAATCTCATATGTAGAATGCTGTTCATGTAGTATTTAATGGGAAATCTATAGCTTCAAAGGCTTGTATCAGAAAAGAAGGTAGTCTACAGTATGTTATATAGACTTCTTTGTAAATGTGTAGAAAAGACCCAATTTTAGCAGTGGTAAGTAGAAGGAAGGGAATAATAATTATAAGAGGAGAAATCAATGGAATACAAAGTAAATAAAAAAGGAAATCAAAGTCCAACAATATTTTTCTCCATCATCAAGAAAGCAGAACCAAATAATTTTGATGAAATATCTGGCTTGGGATTTATAAAAAAGGAAAGGTGACTTCACTTTGGGAGGGATGTTTTTTACTTCCCCAACAAATTTTACTACTTCAGGGCTACTTGACACTTTGTTGACACTTTGTTTGTTTGTTGGAATACTATTAAGAATAATCTGTCACTTCCAGCCAAGATGGAGGAGCAGGTGGGAACATTGTGCCTTCTCGCACAACCAAGTTTAAAGACAACAAAGTTTTAGTAACAAAAACACAGCCAAAACACAGAAAATTGAACTGTATGGAAGTCCGACAACAACGAACCATTCAGCCAAACTGGTAAGAGGGGCGGAGTCAGTGGCTAAGTGGGGTCAGGCAGGAAAGATCCTCCAGACCGACCCAGGTGTGCAGGTGGCAGTTGGCAGAGCCCAGGCTTGGGGTGGCAACGAGTGGACCCAGTGAGGGTGCAAGGTGGCTGGCTGACCCCGGTCACACATTTGTGCGCAGATAAACCAAGCAAAGGAGCAAGCAGTGAGACAGACCACTCAGGCTAAGACCCCAGTGACAGGAATTAGAGCCTAAAAGCACCAATTGGAAAGACTTTCAGGGTCCAGGTGCTGGGAGAAGCTCCCAGGCTCACAGAGAGTTTGTTGGAGAGACCCACAGGGTCCCAGTGGGTGCACAAGCCCACACCCCTGGAAACCAGCACCAGAAGGGCCCAATTTGCTTCTGGGAAGTGCCAGAGGGGATAGAAATCTGAGAGAGAATGGAACAAGTGCCATTGCCCCTCTCTGACCCTGCCCCCACATACAGCATCACAAAACAGCGTCCTGGGTGGCCCCGTCCTGGTGATGTCTGCCCCTCATACATAACAGGCGCAAACAGACCAAAACACTATGGCTCAAGAACAGCTGAAAGCCTCAGAACCAATAATTCTAAGCGCCCAAGAGATAGCCAACCTTTCAGATGCACAGTTCAAAACACTGGTGATCAGGATGCTCGCAGAACTGGTTGATTATACTCACAAATTAGAGGAACATATGAAGGCTAAACTAATTGAAATGAAGGAAAATGCACAGGAAACCAATAGTGATGGAAAGGAAACTGGGACTCAAATCAAGGGAGTGGAGCAGAAATAAGAAAAAAATAACCAAACAGAAAAGAATGAAGAAACAAGAATTGAAAAAAATGAGGAGAGGCTTAGGAACCTTCAGGACATCTTTAAATGTTCCAACATTTGAATTATAGGGGTACCAGGAGGGGAAGAAGAAGAGCAAGTGGAAAACTTATTTGAACAAATAATAAAGGAGAACTCCCCTAATCTGGCGAAGGCAATGGACTTCCAGGAAATCCAGGAAGCTCAGAGAGTCCCAAAGAAGTTGGACCCAAGAAGGAACACACCAAGGCACAGCATCATTACATTAACCAAGATTAAAATGAAGGAGAGAATCCTAGAAGCAGCAAGAGAGAAGGGGACAGTCACCTACAAAGGAGTTCCCATCAGACTGTCAGCTGATTTTTCAAAAGACACCTTACAGGCAAGAATGGGCTGGAAACAAGTATTCCAAGTCATGAAATCCAAAGACCTACATCCAAGATTGCTCTATCCAGCAAAGCTTTCATTTAAAATGAAATGGGCAGATAAAGTGCTTCTCAGATAAGGTCAAATTCAAGGAGTTCATCATCACCAAGCCCTTATTATATGAAATGTTAAAGGGACTTATCTACGAAAAAAAGATAAAAATATGAACAGTTGAAAGGACAGCAAACTCAAAGTTATTAACAACCACACCTAAAACAAAAGCAATCTAAGAGGACAGCTAGATCAGGAGCAGAACCATAGAAATGGAGATCTTATGGAGGGGTAGAAACAGGGAAGTGGGAGGAGAAGGGGGGAGAAGGTACAGAAAATAAGTAGCATAGATGGTAGGTAGAAAATAGACAGGGGGGAGGGCAAGAATAGTATGGGAAATATAGAATCTAAAGAACTTGTGACACATGGACATCAACGAAAGGGGGGAGAATGATGGGGGAGGGGTCTGCAGGGTGAAGGAGAATGAAGGGGGGAATGGGACAACTGTAATGGCATAATCAATAAAATATATTAAAAAAAAGAATAATCTGAAGCTCATTAAACTAGATATCACCTCCAGGTAATTTTCATAAATCGTTTTTTAAAAAGAGTTTTAAATTATCACTTATAAGCCTGCAAATAAAACCATAATGTATTGATGTGATTGAAATAGTTCTTTCGTCTAAATAATGGCAGAGCACAGCTGGCAAACACAAGGCCGCAGGCTGAATTCCGCCCTCCACTTTGTTCTATCTGGCCCAACACCTTGTTTCTACTCAGCGGCAGCGCGAGCTCTTTGCCCCTAGTGAAATAGTTACACTTATAGATCCTAACATTACATTTGGCCCTTTGAAGGCAACCACCGGGTTTATGTGGCCCCCATTGAAAATGAGTTTGACACCTCTGTGAGGGTTAGCATTCTAATCTGTAATATTTAAAAGTTTGAGTAGATAAACTATATATTTTGTCTAACTATATTTTGATGACTTTATATATTCGTAAACTCCCAAATGGATTGATAAATAAAGGAAGAATTTGAGTATCTAGAGAACGTTTATTTAGAGAATGTTTATTCTCTAATCATTTAAAATAAGGTTGAATAACAAATCCAGAAGCAAAATGATTGTAGTCCCAACCTGATTATTTCAACCGTTTCAGTTTCAAGTGAAGTTAAGATTTGTATTGGGCTTATGAAGAACTCGAGTGCCAAGTTCACTAAAGTAGTATCTCCATTCCTGCTCTAGTTCATTCTTCGTGCAATATATAGACATTTATGCTTCTTTGTTTTCTCTCAGCTTTCATGACACCATTTTCATTTGGTTTTCTTTCTTTTGATGGGACTGTAGTATCTAGATTTCTCTTTGTTGACCTTTCATTGACCTCTCTCTCTCTTTGCATAAGCACAACCAGCTAGGAAAGTATAAACAGGAAGACAATTCAGAAAAATATCTGAAATTTATATTTTGGACCAGCCCACTATCTGGCCATTGTTTCCAATGACTTTTAAAAAATGATTGGCTAATATATGTCTTTCATATGTATAAAATTTTCAAGATGTTTTCCTATGTGATATCATCTATAGATTCACAGCTTAGAAGGTTATTAGCTTTGAATATTTGAAAACTATTCAGTATTATCCATTAAGAAACATTCCCAAGTAATACGATGGAGTCTTCAATGCTTTCTCACCTTTTATGAACCAGAGATAACATTTAAAACTATACTCCTTGAGATATAAATTGATACAATTTACTGAGTTAATGAAAGACATGAAATTAGCTATAAATCAAAATTTCTGTGTATTCTAATTTATTAAACATTTACTTTGTCATTTTGAAATGCTTTTGATACATGACCTGATTTTCTTTCATCCTTTTTTTTTTAAGATGTCGCAGGTATGAAATAAGACTGAGGCACAGGAGAATCGCAGCCCTTTGGACTCTCCTGCAATTTCTATAGCATTCACTCATATCTGGGAATCTTTCATCCTTTTTTAAAAAGCTTTTTAAAATATGATTTCCTCTGTACTCTTCCTTATGAACTTTAGAAATGTTCTTTTTAAAATAAGAATCCTGTCTTGACTGGTGCAACTCAGTTGGTTGGGCATTATTCTGCAAAGCAAAAGTTGGCCAGTTTGATTCCAGGTCAAGGTATATGCTTGGGTTGCAGGTTTGGTCTCTCAGGGCATGTACTAGAGGCAAACAATGTTTCTCTTCCTCTCTTTCTCCCTCCCTTTTCCTCTCTCTAAAAATAAATAAATAAAATCTTTTTAAAAAGACTCTTGAAATTTTGTGTAAAGTTTAATTAACTTTTTACAATTTTTTATTTTCTTTAAAAACAGTCATCAGATACTATTTCCCATTTGGTAGAAATAATATATCATAAACATATTATGGTTTGCTTTACAATAGCACATATATTTCTGAAAATTATTCCTAAATTTTTAAAATATTTTCCATCACCGTGAGTTGAATCTTTTGTGTCAATGAGTTTTTGTTTGTTTTTCTTGTGGTTCATATGCTGCTTTCAGTTTTATATCTCTTGTATAAATAAAATCATATGGTTCTTTATATGATAGTGTTGACATCACAATATACATGCCAAATAACAACTCAAAAAAAGAAAAATAAATAAAAATAAATGATTGACAAGTCACTGGGCACATTTCTAAAGTGGTAGAGACATAATTCATTAAAATTAATTAAATTTAAAAATTCTTCAAAATTTAAAGCTTGGAACAATATAGTATTTTAAATGTTTCCTTTTCATAGATTTTAATTTTTTTCTCAATGCAGAAAAAGAAATTATCAAAAGATGACAGAAAAGTACACCCCCTATAAAACCCACTAAGAATCTACTATTGTTAACATTTTCTGGCATATTTTTCCAGATTTTTTCTTTCCAAACACATGAAACCATATTTTTAACATTTTTTACAAAGATGAAATGAATATCATATGCACAATATACTCAATTTTCATGAATAGCTCTCCATAGCAATGGGAAAATTTCTCCAGGATCATTATTAATGATTACATGTAATTCACTAATCTACATTGTGTTCGATTGTACCATCATTTAGTCATTGTATTTTTATTAAACATTTGTTTTATTTCTAACTTCAATTACTATAAGTAGCACAAAGAAAAATAACTTGAAAAATTTTGTTAAGAATGAAATACAGCCCTGGCTGGTGTAGCTCAGTGGATTGAGCACGGGCTTGCAAACTAAGGGATTGCAGTTCGATTCCCAGTCAGGGCATATGCCTGGGTTGCAGGCCAGTTTTCAGCAGAGGACACACGAGAGGCAACTATACATTGATATTTCTCTCCCTCTCTCCTTCCCTTCCCCTCTAAAGATAAATGAATAAAATCCTAAAAAAAAAAAGAATGAAATACATTTTGAACTGAGAAAAACAAGAAACAAAATTAAAACATCCCAACATTTATGGGGGGAAAATAAAGACTCAAAATCATTTGCAAAAATTCCTGCAGTGTGTCAAAGTTACTGACACCAACAGTAGAAAATATTCACTTTTAAACAATTGTATCCAAATAAATTTTGAACAAATTGCATTTGACTTTTTAAAACTTAAAATGTTTGTGTCTACATTTGCTTGATGTCTTTGTTAGTTTTATGAAATATTACATAAATGACCTCTGTATGACATTTTCATTAAGCTTAAGGTTGTATCATGTTTTCCTCACTGAATAAATTGGGTGGCTTCCCTCTATTTTCCTGTGTTCTGAAATAAAGTATCTAACATGGAAATAATTTATTCTGTAATATTTTAAGTAATTAATTGACAAATCTATCAATATAAGGAAAATTTTAGAGGATGGTTTTTCATAAATGTTCCATAATTTCTTCTGTAGTTATTGAGCTGGAGATATTTTAACTTGGGTCAACTTTTACATTTTGTAATATTTATAGCATTTCAGCTACTCACTTAATTAAAATCAAGTACAACTAATATATTATATCATAGTACTAAAATAACTGATTTCCTTCGGCACTCTCGTTTTAATTTTGGTTTGTCCTTTTCCATTATTAGATTTTACAGGCATTTTAAACTTTACATTATTGATTTACCAGCAAAAGGAGCTTTCAGATTTGTTATTCATCATTATTTTTGTACTAAATTGTTCTATCTTCACATAAACATCACTATTTCAAGAAATAATGGGGCCCGCCCACTATAGATCATTGGAGAATATAATGATCTTTTAGTTGTCAACACGCACTTTTAAATTTTAAAGACCCTCACTCTGGCCAAATATATACTTACAAATAAAAGGACAGATGGCATAGCTAAGATGCTTTTTTCATTTTTTTCTAAAAAAATTACTGAACTCACATTATGTAGAAATATATTTTTTAAATTTCTTTCACCTGAGTCATTATATTTGAAGTGTTTTCATTTGTACTAATTTCTAAATATTTGGCAAAAGCAATCTTTCATTTTTCTTTGAATAATGCTGCTGTGGGAAGTGCATCTTTGAGTTTTTGTATTTTATGATGTTAGTATTTGATTTCATTGTATTGCATCTTGAGACACAATCCATGCAAGTTTTTGTGTTTTAAATCTGTATTTCTTTCTTAGGATAGAACAGTATCAATGTTTGTGTATTATCTGTGGAGACTTGGTGTTTGAAATGGTGGGGGAGGAGTAAGCTAATAATTTTAAGTACCTTCCATATAAAAATGCTTCCAATATTTATCTCATTTAATTCTCATAACAATCTAGTGAGGTAAGAATTATTATCTACACTTTGTTTTTCCAGCGGAAAATAGATTTAAAGTTAAGTGATTTGCCCAGATTACATCTTCAGTATGTATGGGGTACTGCTGAACTCAGAACTGGGTGTTTGCAATGCCAAAGCTCAGCATCCTTTTTACTGAATTAGTGTCTTTCAAGGAGATATAATTTCTTTCAGGGGTGTACAGAGTTTGATATATATCTAATTGTTGTACATTTACTGTATTATTCATTTCTCTGCTGTTCTTACTCAATTTTTAATGGGGATTTACCCAGGATAATTGCATGCTGTAATTTAATCGTGGATTTTTAGAACTGTGTGTTCCCTGGGTCATCAATCTCGTCTGTCTGTGACTTCAGCTACTACTCTCCTGGCTGTCAGCTTCCCATGTCTTATTTGAGCTCCAGGCTGCAGCTCAGCAAATGTTTGTAAAATCCAAGACTAAACATTTTACCATATTGGTTTGATTATTAAGCATTTACTGCAACATTTGGAAAGCAATGAGAAACATGAAACATGTAATAAGAATCATCTTAGTTCCACAAGCTGAGACAACTAGCATTTTTATGAATTTTCTTGCTCTCCAATTTTTTGTCTCTTATATGCACTCACATATTTTATTTATCAATAGGTACCAAACCAATTATTATGGTTTCTAACATTTTCTTCCCAAAATAACGTAAACATTTTTATATTATCAAATATTCTTCAGGAATATGATGTATTTTAATTCTCCTTTTTGTGTTATATGGATGCATGAAAGTGTAACAATTCCATATCATTGGGCATTTAGAACTACAATTATATACAATTTTTATGTAAATCACAAGATGGATATTGGCATTTTGATTTGCACTTAGTTACACAACAAATGAACTCAGTTTCAGTAACATTTTATCAGGCAGGGGGGGCACCGAATTAAGCAGCCAAGAACAAATGGTAGAAAATATGCACCATGCCTTTGACAATGTCAGTCTCCCTTAATGGTACACTCAGTTTCAGGCTGGGTTTCATCATGACTACCTCCCCATCAATATCCCAAACCATCCTCTCCAAAACCTTGCATTCATGGAGTCTTTCTGTTAGGGGTCTAATAGTGGCACTATTTTTCTGTGCTGATGAAAACAGATGCAAGAACTAAGGTGAGCCCCCTAGATAATCTTCTACAAACAAATGAATTTAGAAACCACATTTAAAGTGAAATTAAGTGTTGTTGTATAAATCTTGATGGGACTATCACTCTCTAATGATTCTTCTGTTCCAGGCACCCCCTGAATTTCTTCCTATACTTTCTCAAATCTGTTATCTGTATGTTTCTGCTTTCCTGTAAGTGGTTTGTGAAATAAAAAGAACATTTACTTCCCATTTGACTATTTTATAATAGCTTCTAAATAGGAAAGTTGTGAGAGAATGTTACATGTAATGTGAAGCTATTGAATTTTTTCATAAAAGCGAGAAAAAGCAAAAAAAAATCTCATTTCACCTAATGCATTTCAAAGATTGCCATAAAGTAAGATGCTTTATCACTGGAAAGAAAATGCTGCTTTTCTTCAATCGGAAACAAATATATTTGCATCATAACAGAATGGGGAAGCTGTAAATAGAAGGGCAAATTTTGGTTGTTGCTATGCAGACTGAGCTAACTGTCATATCCTCAGAGAGATATTTTAGAGAATATTTTCACACAAAATGTGTGAATCTAATCATTTATTCATTAGAATCTATGATTTACTTTCCATACATAAATAAGCACTTCCAAAAACAATGCGAAATGTCAGTGACTTCAAGGCGTCTTTTCTATCCCACTTCCAACAATCACCTAGAGCAACTTCAACACCTGCCTCGACGACCTTTTCAAACTTTGATTTCCCATCTTGTTCCCCAGAACTTGTCTATCCAGACCATCCGCTTTAGCCAACATGGGCCATGCCACTGATCTCATCATCTTTCTGACTTGTGTAACTCCCCTTCCATTTTAGAGAAGTCGTGTTTATATCCATTGTGTCATCTAATCCCGATTTAGTGCCTTGCATTTTCCACGTCCATTGGCACTTTCTTGGTTATAATTTCCTCTCTTTCCAACCTGGACTTTTTGAATTTGAGTGCTTTACCACTTTGACTTCCTCTCATCCCTGCCTTCTATTGGATCAATTAATTTAACCTCAATTAATTCCAGATTGCAATTTCCTTTTTTAAATTTCATTTTTATTATTGACACTATCACAGATGTTCCCATTTTTCTCC